CCGCCCGGCCCTTTTTAGTCTTTTGATTGAATATCCTAACTGTGTTTTCCAAAGTCCCTGTAGCAGATACAGCCACCTGGGGAAAAGGGGTCTAAGTTCTTATCTACACTTACGAATCCTGGTTTAAGCTTCTCTTTGTCTGTAGGGGATAGAGTGGGGGCGTTTACTGAGGTATCACAGTACAGGTAGTCCAACAATGGCTGCCTACCAATGGAAATGTGAAGAATCTAGTAGTTGTTAAGTCTATGAGGCTGGATGTCTCAGCTAATCTTCAGTATACACCAGAATTCCAAAGAAGTAGGCTCTAATGCTAGTAAAGGAATGAACTTGATAATCAGAGCTAGGGCAAGCAGGCAAAAAGAGAGACCATCCTTCTTCAATATTCTTTATATATGCCAGCTGCTACCAGAAGGTGCAATCCAGATGAAAGGTGGATCTTATTCTTTGTTTGATTGTTTGTTTGTTTGGTTGGTTGGTTAGTTGGTTGGTTGATTGGTTGGTTGGTTGGTTTTTTCCAGACCATACTGGCCTCAAACTCAGAAAATATGACTGCCTCTGCTTCCTGAGTGCTGTGATTAAAGGTGTGCACCAAACAGCTAAAGATGGATCTGATCACCTCAAATGATCCAGATTAAAGATGGGTCTTTAACATCAAAACCTTTAAGAAAGATCCTTCACAGGTGTACCCAACTCTTTGGGTTTTAATTAATTACAGTCAGTTTGACTACCAAGAATAGTCATCAAACAGCTAAGACAGAAGAAATCAAAAAGATTTCTTACCTGCAGGAGGCAAGGAAAGTATGGGAGTTATTTCCAAAACAATGCTTTTCCTGAACAAAGCATAGGAAAACTTTCAGCTACACCGGGTCTTACCATATTGCCAAAGTTGACCCTAAATTTCTGGACTCAAAGAATCCTTCTGCCCCACTCAGTCTCCCAAACATGGGACTTCAGGCTCCAACCTAAGTATCCCAGTTTCAAATCTTATATTTCAGAATGTCAGCACCAGGACAGGAGTTAGAAGCAATTTTTACTCAAGTCCCTTCTATCTTGAGGGAAATTGAGATTACAAAGGGCTAATAATTCCTCTGGAGATGTCAAAACTTTAAATCCCAAGATGTCATACCTTTCACTTTGGGCCTGGACTCTGGAACCTCAAAAATGACTCTACTTTAAGGCTGCAGAGATAGCTCAGAGGTTAAGAACACTTGCTACCCTAACCTTAACCCAAACCCATCTCCTACCTATTGTATTTCAATGTACATACTAAAACTGTTTCTCTTCGCGCGCGCGCGCGTGTGTGTGTGTGTGTGTGTGTGTGTGTGTGTGTGTGTGTATGTTTTATTTGAATGCATGTCTGTGCTAAACTTTCATAAAATGTCTGAGGAAGCAAGTGGGTGACAGATACCCTGAAATTGGAATGAGCTGGCATAAAGGTACTGTGACTGAAATACAGGTCCTTTGAAAGACAAGCCAGTACTCTTAATCACTGAACCATTTTCCAGTCTTAAAACTTTCCTAACTATAAAATCTGACCAATTTATGAGCCACACATTTTACTAGATAAGATCAAGATTTTTTATTATTTCATTCAATTTTATTTATCTTAACCTTTTTAAAATTATTTATTTTATGCATACAAATGTTTTGCCTGCATGTACATATGTGTACCATGTGTGTGCCTAGTGCTTGCAGTGGTCAGAAGAGGACATTGGATACCTTGGAACTGGAGTCAAGAATATTGTAAGCCACAATGTGGGTGCTGGGAATCAAACCCTGGTCCTATGCAAGAGCAACAAATACTCTAAAGGGCTGAGTCATCTCTTTAGATGTGTGTGTGTGTGTGTGTGTGTGTGTGTGTGTGTATACATATACTGGGTGTTAAAATTAAGACCTCCTGCATTGTAGGCAAGTGTCCTATCACTAAACTATCTCCCCACCACTTTGCATTTTTCACTGAGGGAAAAGTCTTACTAAATTGTCCAGCTAGGACCTGAAGGCATGCTTCTGGCCCTGCAATCTTGCTGCAGACTCCTGGGTAGTTTGAGTGTACAGGCCTTCACCACCAGGGCTGGCTTCAAAAATCATTTTTAAAGGGTTAGGAGTGAGTTCCCATATTTTTTATTGTTTACTTTCAAGAAAGATTGAGTTGATGTCAATTTTCCATGCTATAATAATCATCTGTAAGTAGGCATGTGGTTTTAAACTACCATAACCAGAAATAAGAAGTAAAACGAATAAAACAATTATTGTCAAAGGTTTTAATCACATTCAAATATTTCAATCAATTCATTTTGTCATTCGGGGAATTAAAAAGAAACATGATATTTACCTGTAGTTATTCAGTGTATGGAGACTGGTTGCTTGTATGACACCCTCAATCTCAGGAAGCAGAGCTAAAAACCCAGGAAATACTCAAATCTTTTCAAGGGTTCCTGAAATTCGCTCTCACAGATTTGTGGGAAATGTAGTCTTGCCTGGTGTGACGTCACAAGCAAGGGCCGTGGAAATCTTGCTTTGTATTCCTTCTGTGCGCATATGCCCCAAGGGTCTTTCCTCGAGTTCCGGCCTCTGGATGTACTGTTCGCTGTCCTACAAGCTTGGGTTTGATTATTTGACTTGAAGGTACATGCCGGGGGGAGAGCAGCTCTACAAGCCGGAGGCACTCTGCAGGTCGGAGGAGGTTCCGATGCTTACAGAGAGCGGAAATGTGGGTGGATGTAAGGCAGATAGAACCTGTTTGGGAGGTTTTTGCGGTGATCTAGGCTGAGTTACCCAGTCAGGATCCGCAGCTCATGACTGGGGAGAGGATGATTGGAACAGTGCTATCTTTCAGTAATCGCTCTGTTAGAATGTAGTGTGCTTCTAAGAATTGGACGGATGGCTCCCATAGCCGAATCCGACGCTGCTCTCCTCGCTCCCTCCAGGTAGGGCTGTTTCAGCTGACTACCTGATCTTGGGAGGTGTAAAATGTGAGTTCATTTTCCAGCTTCGCTGTGGAGAGGTCATGTTACCAGCTTAATGAGACTTACATGACTATTGTACTTATGAGATTCTTGTCGTATTTAACCAAATGGAGTCTCCAGCCTGCCTAGTTGTTTCACAGTTTATAAAAACAATTTCTGGGGGTAGAGTTCTGTGAGAGAAGTTGATGTATTGGAATGTCGTTCCATTTTCTTTGGAATAAATCATTACAGATTTTAAAGGTCCCCCCCCCCTTTTGAAGACAAATCCTCCAGGTACACTACCCTCTGACCTGAACTCTCCTAGCAACCCTTCCATATAGAGATAAAAGTTCCAGAAAGAGGACCACCTTAGATTTGCTTAGTCCAAGCAATTACTGATCCTACACTCTAGAGTGAAAAAAAATTCAATACTTATCAGGGACTGTGTGATGTTGGAAGCTTTGGACTAATTTTCAGGAGAGATGAGTTGGGCTGAGAAAGACAGTCATAGTCTTAGGAATTTTAAGTAATGTTTGAGGAGATTTAAGGTGTGTGTGGGGGGTGAGGGTCATGACCTGTTGGTGTACCTGATAAGTCTCTGTCTACAGTCTCTACTCACACTTCTTTACATCTATCTATCCCCATTATCTATAGAGTATACACTCTAAAATGACTCATCACCTAATGTGGCATCTAAGTACACTGATGTTCCATGTACATGACAGTTCTTCCTGGAAAGGTGTGCCGATATTTTTATACTTTATCTGAAAGGTGAAAAATCAATTGAAAGAGATCTGACTTGCTCAGAGTCCCAAGATTTGTACATACTAGATTCCTAATGTCTTGTTCTGGTTTTACATATTTTGCCACATTTAATTAAGTTATGCCAAGTGTTCATCTGTCATGAGTCTGTTTTGTAGCATTAAAGTACTTATAACCACCTTATATTTAATACTAATATTTTCTATGGGTTATATAATTTTATAAGGAAAATTACCCTGACACCTATCATTTACTATATATCTCTGATATGCAGGAAAATAATAGTATTCTATTATACATTATTTAAAATAGGAAAAGTATATTGCCTGATGCATATGAAGAAAACAGGTTTCTTAAAATCTATTACAGTAACATTCTCTCCAGTTACAAACCCGTTTTATGTTTTTGTTTTCTGCATATGTAAAATTTGTGGTACATGCCTGACAGCAAGGCATTTGGGAGGTAGAGCCAGGATAATCAGGACTTCAAGATTATCCTTGGCAGGTCTGAGTTGTAGCTCACTAGTGGAGTCCTTGCCTAGACCATAGCTCTAGCATGTGCAAGTCCCTGGGTCAATCCTAGCACTGCAAAAACAAAAGCAAACAGAAAAACAGCTATGGAAGGCTCTTAATTAAAAACTGTCTTTGGCTATGTAGTAGGTTCAAGGACATTTTGGACTACAAGAGACTCTAGCCCAAAAGCGGAGAAATAGCCACATCCATGATGTACATGCCTTGCAATGGAAGAATGTATTTAAATCATAGATTCTAATGTTTGTTTGACCAAACCTAGTCAAAAGACAAAGTATAGTTCATTGTTGAAACAAATTGTACAAGCATTCAGACACAGGAGAAACTGACATTGGGTAACATTACTGAAAGACTATTCTGTAAAAAATCTATATAATCATGTGTTACAAGATACATACTTTCCATGATGCTTGGGTAAATGTGTTGCAGTGAGGTGTGGAGTCCTATGTAGAATCCCTGCACTAATAGAACAAAAGTACAATGTATTTTTTATAACATTAAGTTTAGTAAAGACAATATTTTGTTTAAATTATTAAACAGTATCTTCTTTTCCCCTCTTTTGGGTGTCCACCACACAGCTCCCAAATAAATACACAGAGACTTATTCTTGCCCAGCCTTAGCTTGTCTTATCTTGCTTCTAGCTAGATTTTCTAACTTAAATTAACCAGTCTCTCTTCGTTAATGTTTTGCCTCTGGACTTTTCTTTATTCTAAAAACCTTTCTTTATTCTACATGTCTTTCTTCCCTTCTTACTCTGTGACTGGTTGTGTGACTGGGTGGATGGCCCCTGGTGTCCTCATCTTCTCCTTTTTTCTCTCCTAGATTTTCTTTCTCTCCAGCCTAGATTTCTTCTCCTATTTATTCTCTCTACCTGGCAGCCCTGCCTATCCCTCTCCTGCCTAGCTATTGGCCATTCAACTCTATATTAGACCAATCAAGTGTTTTAGGCAAAGTAACACAGCTTCACAGAGTTAAACAGATGCAACACATGTTTATATCATTAAACAAATATTCTACATCATAAGCGAATATAACAGTCTTAAACTAATATTTCACAACAATATCCTTAAATAGCATGACATACTATTCTCCATTATTATACTCATAGATGCATCTTTAGTGAGTCCTTTTTGTACCTCCTTCAGCTATATTTTCCCACACAAGGGCATTTTGGTGCTTTCCAGTTAATGTATGGGGAGAAGCAGGGGATTAGGACCAACAAGTTCTTATTCACTCCATCTACCTTTTCTCTTAGTTATATTTCCAGATGGCTTTTGGAATCTCCAAGAGTAACAAAAGTTGAACAAACCTGTAGATGTAACCAACCATCTTATTAAATAAGAAACACAGAAACAATGTGAAAGAGAAAGCCAAGAGGTCAGAGCTCAGAGCTAAAATCTCACCCTTCCTCCTGCTGTCCCAGCTTCTCGAAAGAGAGCTATTTCCTTGTGTGTCAGTCGGTTCCATAGTCATTCTGCCTTCTCATTGGTTGTAAACCCAAACACGTGACTGCCTCATCACTGTCTGAATGTACAGCCCCCTAGGTCTTAAAGGCATATGTCTCCAATGCTGGCTGTATCCCTGAACACACAGAGATCTATGGGATTAAAGGCGTGTGCCACCACCGCCACACTCTGTCTATGGCTCTAATAGCTCTGACCCCCGGGCAACTTTATTTATTAACATACAATCAAAATCACATTTCAGTACAATTAGAATACCACCACACAAACCTCTGAGGAATTGTTATTTTTCATCTTATTTCTACATTTATGTGCTTTAAATTGGATCTATGATTTAAAATTAAACCTAAGAGGGCTGGAGAGATGGCTCAGAGGTTAAGAGCACCGATTGTTCTTCCAGAGGTCCTGAGTTCAATTCCCAACAACCACATCTGCAATGCAATCTGACACCCTCTTCTGTATACATAATAAATAAATAAATCTTTAAAAAAAAATTAAACCTAAGAAATAGTAAAACAGAGCTTGGCCAATAGTACAAGGACAAGATGGCTGTGGTGATGCATGCCTTTAATCCTAGGATTCTAAAGACAGAAGCAGGTGACTTTATAGCCAACATGATCTACATAGTAAGTTCTAGAGCTGCCAAGCATGCATAATGAGGCCCTGTCTCAATAAAAAAAGTTTATCCTCAGCTACAGAGTGAGTTTGCAGCCAGCTTGGCCTATATGAGACCAACCCTATCTAAAGAAAAGAAAAGAAAGAAATTGTGAAATACTTAAAGTTCATGTCTATAAGGGACTCACCACTGACATGTAATCATAAGCAGGTGTTGTGCCACACTATTCCTGGGGAGACTAAATGCTTATGCACCCCAGATAGTGAACTAATGAGAGATCAAAGTAAGAATAACACCAAAACCCAACTTGGTGAACCAATGAGTTTCCCCTGAGTTACTGAAGTGTAGATTAAAGGTTACTTACAGGAGCAGAAATAACTCAAAGACAGCTGCATCACCAAAAACCTATCCTAGCATGGGTAATGCCTCACAAAAGCTGGAAAACTTGAGCCCACTGCACACCTTGTAGGCAGCTCAACATGGTGTTTCTTTCAGATAGCTCAGGTGGTCTGAGCCAATTTTAGGTGACTGGGATGGTCTCTGCTTCTTCCTGGCTAAGTGGCTCAGTTGCCTCTTCTAAGCAGGTTAGTTTGTCTGAGAGTGTCTCTCAGCAGCCCTTACTGCTTATATATACACGCTTGGGACAGAGGGGCCTAGTGTATCTGATGACTCTGAGGGAATTCCTAAAGCAGTGGTTCTCAAACTTCCCAATGCTGCAAGCCTTTAATATAATTCCTCATGTTGTGGTGACCTCAATCATAAAATTATTTTTGTTGCTACTTCATAACTGTAAGTTTGCTACTGATACGAATCGTAAATATCTCTGTTTCCCAATTATTTTAGGCAATCCATATGAAAAGATCGTTTGACCTCCCAAAAGGATTGTGACCCACCGGGCAGTGGTGGCACATGCCTTTAATCCCAGCACTCGGGAGGCAGAGCCAGGTGGATCTCTGTGAGTTCGAGGCCAGCCTGGGCTACCAAGTGAGTCCCAGGAAAGGCACAAAGCTACACAGAGAAACCCTGTCTCAAAAAACCAAAAATAAAAAAAAAAAAAGGATTGTGACCCTCATGTTGAGAACCATTGTCCTAAAGCTTCTGTTTACTTACTTAACTTAAGGAGCTTCCCTGCAGGGTAGACTGTTTCACCTGTGTCTGAATGCTTGTACAACATGTTTCAACAATGAACTATACTTTGTTTTTTGACTAGGTTTGGTCAAACATACATTAGTATATATGATTTAAATATATTCTTCCATTGTTGGTTATACCCTTGAGCATAGATAGAGTGTGTAGAAACCTATGGCC